TTATTATTATTAGTTCTATATGTTTGTTCTGTTCCCAAAATATTTCAAACCACAAGACGAATTGTAACAAAACTGTTCATCATCACTGGATTTACAACAAGTGAATTATTTTAAGACTCAACCCAGATCTGCCCCCAATACTTGGGGCTGTTTTGGTCTAAAAGCACAAGGATGACACAGTCACCGGAGTCAGTTGCTGTTGACATTTTGAATGAAACATCAGTGTTTTCAGTCCTCTGGGTGGCTGTTCTACCATCTGTAACTGCTGACCCGTGTTGCATCAGTTTTTATTTTATTTTTTCAAGTGCTATTTGTGCTCCTTCCAGCACATCAAAGCTTCTCTGGACCTGATCGAAGGTAGCGTAACGGTCTGCACCACAAAGAAAACCTTTGACCCCTACGCCATCGTCAGAGCAAGAGATCTCATTAAGCTCCTGGCGAGGAGCGTTCCATTCGAGCAGGTAACACTGCTGTTAAAAACACGTTGTGATGCTGAGCGACTGGTTGTTGTTGCTGCTTGTTAACTGTTGCTACACTCGTGTTGTTTCCAGGCTGTCCGCATATTACAGGATGACATGGCCTGTGACATCATCAAAATCGGGACTCTTGTGAGAAACAGAGAGCGGTTTGTGAAGAGGAGGCAGCGGCTTATCGGTCCGAAGGGCTCCACCTTAAAAGTAGGTTCAGTTTGAAGACTGAACCTGTTGTTACAGCAGAAATTATCTACAGTCAATCACAGATCTCTACAAAAAATAACTTTACATATAAAATAACGTATCCTTGTAAAAAAATAAATAAATAAATAGATCAATAGTTAATGAACACCTAAAAGGGCAGGTGAGATTCATGGCCATCTCAGGGGTGTCAAACTCCAGTCCTCGAGGGCCGCTATCCTGCATGTTTTAGAGCAGGGGTGTCAAACTCCAGTCCTCGAGGGCCGCTATCCTGCATGTTTTAGAGGTTTTCCAGCTCCAACACACCTGATTCAGTGATTGAATTAACTCTTCAAATTGGGCAGAAGCCTGTTAATCACCCAGCGATCAAAATCTGGTGTGTTGGAGCAAGAAAACCTCTAAAACATGCAGGATAGCGGCCCTCGAGGACAGGAGTTTGACACCCCTGCGCTAGATGCTGTTTATCAGTCTAAACACTGCCAAGGCTTTGTGCATGTTACGTATTAGGTCATTAGTCCAAATATAGATTTTACCCAAACAATAAGTAAAACAAGTTGATATACTGTAATATTGGCCAGTATTTAAGAAAATGATATTAAAACTGATGTGTTTTCAGTTAGTTATATCTACACTTACCACTCTGCTTTACCATAATTATAGCATTAAAGTCTAGAGCAGAGGTGCCCTAAGTCGGGCCCGCAGGCCTAAATTGGCCCACCAAGCCATTTTAGGTGATTACTTTAATCTTAATATAATTCAAATATTAAGATGAAATACAAGTAACTAGAAGAGATAGTTAGATTAGATTTAAGCACATAGATTTGCACACTTAGCACCACAAATACTCATATTTTATCAATTTATAAAGTATCCCACGAGTGTATATCAGTTTTTCCAATTTCACAGGTTAAAAAAAAAAACTGGGTCACCGCACTGGCTGCTAGCTTAATCATAAAAAATAAAAGGACTTTAAACAAAATATTTGTAGTTCATGTTTTATATTACTGCATTTGGCCTGATATAATAAATGTAAAAATATTTTTTTGTGGATTGCAGATAATAACAGCATCATAAAACAACATTTACTCAGGTCAGGTTACTTTTAGAACATTTTTTTTGTGATTTGTAGGTTTTGTTTACTCTATGAATTATAAAATTAGGCTTGCAACTAACGTTTATTTTAATAATAGATTAATCTGTCGATTAGTTTTTCGATTAATCGGCCAGATCATTAAAAAACTTAATTACATAAATATAAGTAGACATAAATTGAATTTTTTTTTCCTTTGTCCTGAACCTTTTTGCTTCTTATCAAATAACTTTGAGCCTCAGTCAGAAAAAAAGACTGGAGTGTTTCTTATTTCTGGCCTGGGAGGAGGAAACAAGGTGGATTTAGGTGCCCCCCGCATGAGTTTCCTTCTCGTGATGCGGCTCGCATCAAATCAGACCTTCTTTTTTAAAAAAATTAATGTGGCATATACATTTGATCATAACTTCAGATCTACTTGTCCTAACAACACAATTTAAAAACTGGTTTAAAGTTCGAAGTCTCTACTTTTCACTCGGGTCTCAGAAAGGGTGGATCTTTACAGGTAGAGTTTAATTTTCTTCCTAAACTTTATTTAGGTCAGCCAGCATTGACAATGCTCTGCGGGTGACGTAAATGGCTCCGCGGCACGGCGAGGGATGCATAAATCGTGCGACACAACTAATCGATAATGAAATTCGTTGCCAAAGCTTTTAATAATAGATTTTTATCGATTCGTTGTTGCAGCCCTGTGAATGTAACCTGGTGTCAGTGTTTTCAGTTACATAAATGTAATTTAAAAATGAACATCATCAGTTAAATGTTTTGTTTTTCTCTTCAGGCACTAGAGTTGTTGACCAACTGCTATGTGATGGTGCAGGGCAACACGGTGTCGGCGCTGGGGCCCTTCAACGGTCTGAAAGAGGTAAAAAATGTCACCCAGCCCATTCAGTCCATTTGTTGACAAAAGAATTGAAAGCTGATTGGCAGTATGTTTATTGGTGGCTAAAAAGGTAGATTATAATGAAGCAGACTATTTTCAGCAAAATGCAGAGGCATGCTTTGCTCTGCATAAACAAACACGCCCACAAAGTTCTGACCAGTCACACACTGCAAGACGCTTAGGTCTGCAAAATGGATGTTAGCCTTTTGGGTAGAAGCTGCATTGGTACACTTGAAAATTTCTTTAGCTGTTTTTAGTTTATTTTTTATTATTATTTATTTCTGTGATGTGGTGTTTTTTAGTTAACATGATGGCTAAAAGGTGAAAGCCATGTCTGCGAAAAAAGCTTTGGGAATAAAACTAATAAATGTGGAAAATAGAAAGTTTTGATTTGAGATTTGCTGTTTTATTAGTTGTAATATTGCACTGTATTTTTATATTTATTACTAAATTAGTAGAAATGCTGTATACTCACATCATCTGGCTGTGTTGTTCAGGTTCGTAAAGTGGTGATGGACACCATGAAGAATATTCATCCTATTTACAACATTAAGGTATGTTTTACTGCTGGATTAGCCTGGCCCTTGCCTTCCTACGCAGCTCCGCTCAATTCTAGTTTCCCTTCACTGCTCCGTCTGGGACTTCTCCCATTGACAAGGATTTCGCTGGCAGATTTTTAGCCGGGCCAATCAGAGAAGAGAATGTCAATGTTCTGCGCAGTGTCTGCTAGTTATTTTAGCATACGGCAGTGGAGGAAGTGAATGAAGCCAGTCTGTGTTGATAAGGCTTCCAAATTAAAATAAATTTRTCTGACAAAGCAGCAGCTCTCATTAACAGTCGTCTCGTTTGGCTCGGTACTTTTCTCCTCTCAGTAGGGTTGTTTACAGCACACGCTATTTCTGGTTAGCTTCTTAGCTTAGCCTCCGTCACACGACAACACACGCATGCTTCAACAGAGGCCACGCCTCCTGCAAGAAATCGATTCTCTATGCAGCAAGTCCAGACTCTTGTACGAAGCAAAGTGAAGGACAGGGTCTGGTTTAAACCAGGCTACTGCTGGATCAGAAACATTAAAACTAAACAGACTACCAGATACTTTCATGCTCAATGAAGAATTTCTCCATCCTTGTTCTTGATCTCCTGACTGATAAAGAATCTCTCTGGGTTTGTTTGCCAAGGTTGGCTCAACCTGGAGCTGAGGGCATGAAAAGGCATTATATTTCAACTTGTGATTCTAAAAAAAGTGTCATTTTATAATAGAAAATGTGTAAAAGCCCTGAGTTTAGCCTGGCACTAAACTTGAGTCATAAGAACGAGGTGTTCAAAATAATCAAACATCACTGAAGTTTCAGCTTCTCTCCTCTGCCCTGTTCTCCATCTCGCCCACGGCCACATCCGTTAGACACTGATGATCAAACGAGAACTCACCAAAGACCCTGAACTACGGACGCAGAGTTGGGAACGCTTCCTGCCCCAGTTCCGCCACAAGAACTTGTCCAAGCGCAAAGAGCCCAAGAAGAAGAGCACAAAGAAGGAGTACACACCATTCCCTCCTCAACAACCAGACAGCAAGGTCAGGAGATGAAGGACTTCGTTGCCTTAAATAAGCAGGTTTTTTAACCAAATGTGATCTCTAACTGTGCGGCCTTCTGTTCCAGGTTGACAAAGAATTGGCCACTGGAGAGTTCTTCCTGCGGGAAAGTGTGAAGAAGAGGAAGAGGATGGAAGAAATGAAGGTGAACATTTAATGCTTATTTCTTCATGTCTGTCTGTGCTTCTTCTGTCAGCTATATTATTACTTTTAAAAAGACTTTCTAATTTTTAGTTTCTGAAAATAGCAACTAAAATATTAAGAGTGATTCTTCATTCAGTCACTGACTTACCCCTTGTGTAGTGATGGGCCGTTTGACTCTGAAGCTCCGTGTATAAAAAAAAAAACGTTTCAGAAGCTGTGTGTCGGACTTTGATTTGTTTTGTAAAAGTCACGTGATCAGTGATGTCCGATGCTTTGAATTTGCCGAAGATGTCACTGCTCTGGTTCCTGATTCAAAGGTTTTATGAGGAAGTGAATCATTGGCCAGATTCCTGGTGTTTTGGCAGCAAATTTGCACAAAATATAAGAAACCAGTGAAAGACCTAGTGTAAGACATGGAGCCAGACAAACTCGTGTTTAGTTTATAAATACTTTAAAAAAAACATTATACATTCGTAAGATACAACATAACCCTACAGTAAACATAAAGTGTTTGAAAACAGTCAGCTCTCATGCCAAACAGTGTTGTGATTTTTTATTTATTTTCTTATATTCTGCGATTACAAACATCAAGAAGCCCCAGAGGCGTCATGCCATAGAACACTTAGTTTATTCATCAAAATCATTTATTTATCAAACAACCATAAGTTTATTCTTTCACCCAGAAGAAATACCTGCTCAAAGCAGCACAATGACATCTTGATATCAGACTGAAACACTTCTTGTTTCTTGCTGCTCATCAAAAGCTTTGGCCACAAGGTGGAGCCAAAGAGGAATGTAAAAACGCTTTGAGTAGTGAACCCTTGTTGACCATCAGTACACTCATGAGACGGCACTCACAAGTCTTTTAACAAGACAACAGAGGTCGACACACAAACTGCCTGTGTTGTCACTTTGTCTGAGTGCTTAGTTTTATTTTTAAATATTAAAAATAGTAAATGGACTGAACTTATATAGCGCTTTATCAAGCCCCATTACAGTCATTCACCCATTCAGACGCTGATGGTGGTAAGTTCCATTATAGCCACAGCTGCCCGTTGGCGTACTCAGAGCCGTAGCTGCCATGCACCGGCGTCACCGGACCCTCTGACCACCATCAGCAGGCAAATGGAACAATTATTGTTGCTGTTTTTTCAGGTCAAACAAGCAGAAGCACTCACCAAGAAGCAAGAGGAGCGAAACAAAGCGTTCATTCCTCCTAAAGAGAAGCCTCTGATGAAGAACAGCAGTAAAGGTAAAACAAACACAGATCATAGAGCAGATCAGAGTGCGACTGTAACACAGCTAACTTCTGTCCCGCTCCTACCTGTCTCACAGCCCACACAGAAGGAAAGCTGGACATCCAAGCCATCAAGGACAAAGTGAAAAAAGCCAAAACAAAAAAACTCGGAGCTCCACCGGTGAACCCATCTCCAGCCTCCAGCAGCTCCACAGACAAAAAGAAGAAGAAGAAAAAAACAAAAGGCAAAAGCTAACGACGTCAACCAGGACATTTATAACATGAACAGAGACTGTAGCACACATGAGGTCAGGACGTGGGGATCAAAATGAACAGTTCCTTCCCAAAGTCTCAGTAGTGCTTTTATTTTTTTTAGCATATGAAAACCTCTCCTGTTGTTTTCATCTGCTGTCTTTAAGGTTTGGACCGGACAGTACTTATGCTCCAAATTTTTTATTTATTTTTTTTAAGGAAGACGTGTTCATGTTGAGGCTCATTTAAACACATAATATCAGTTTTCATAGATTCTCCTGTAAATATAAGCATAATCAAGCAGGAACATGAGTGTCTAACGTGGTTTTTGCTCAACAATCTTTTAATGAAAGAATTCATGGTGGACTCAGATCATCAGCCCTCCACCACCATGCCTCACAGTTCAGCTGTTTGTCCTGAATCAAACAGTTGTGAAGATCATTCAGATGCAACTTTACAAACCTAAATTGTGTTGCCATGTTGTTTATTAGACAGGGTTTCTCCTGCAATGTGTTCAACCTGTTGAGTTTTCTAATTGTCTTGTCATGACCTTTAACCTTTAACCTGCTAACTGAGGCCTGTAGGGTCTGAGATGTAACTTCAGTTTGTTCCTGTTTCTCTGAGCATTGTATGGTCTGACCTTGGGGTGATTTTCATTTATGAACAGTCTTCCTCACTGTTGAATAATGAACTTCACGAGGTTTCGAAATGACCTTCGACCTTTTTATAAACTCTTAATAGAGACGCTCACTGATGATCAGTTGCGCTTGGCTGCAACTTTATCTTTTAAATACTATAAAAGCAGCAACAATAGACGTTTTTCTACAAAACATTTTTCCATTTTGACTTTTTGTTGAATAAATAATGACATGATGGAGTACTGTGTGTTTTTGTTCACTTGAATCATTTTAGAATCTGAAAAAAAGCTATCAACTGGAATGTCATTTTGAGTTGGTTCAACACAACCAAGCACTTGCGATGTCATTTAAACATTAGGCACTAGATGGCGCCATATTTTTACTAAATGGCTCATAACCCAGGACCACTGTGGACAATCGTTACTTTATATTAATTCTATTGTTAAGAAAAGTGATTGTTGTCTTTATAATACTGATCGGTGCTCCCCACAGCAAAGACAGCTGCTTGACAAATATTTACTTTGTATTTTTCATTTACTCTAACTTCATCTTTCAATGCAGCATGCAGTCACTTGTCAGGGTGGTGTCACCACTTTGGCTCCGCCTTTGATCTATAACATTTTTTAATCAGAGGCGATGGGCAGCTGTCTTTTGCTTTACTTCCACCTTTAATAACTGTTTTTGTTACAACCACAGCTTTACACTGTCACTCTTCCTTGTGCATAAAATGTCAGCCCCTAAATTTGTGTGACTACCTGAAATTCAGTCTTTCCTTGCATCTACACGATATATTTCATTGTGCAAACAAGATAGTCACACATGCAGGACATGCAGTATTTTCATCTATTTGCATATTTCAATAAAAAAGGATAGCAGTTTTATGTGCTCAGTTCCACATTTGTTAGATATTGAAGGAAAGGTGTTTCAAAACATGTGCACACACACGCTTTGATACATGAGGCCCATACTGTATGTACGTATATATATATATATATAC